GAACCAGAGTGAAGATCACATGAGTTGAACCATACTTGTTGATTCTAAGTTCAGCTCTTCAACTACAAGGATAGAACAATATGGCCAGAAGGGCTAGGGCCAAGTTAGTGCAAACTTGTCAGCTAATTTCTTGCCATATTTATAAACAAAGTTTGCCTAGAGTTTGCAACCACTGGAAACAATGAGCATTATAGCTGCCATCAGCTGATTTAATTTCACAGGATTCACAACATGCAACCAAAGGCATTGCCCTTGCCAACATACAAAAAGGGTCTACAAAAACAGGAACTAATCTTGCCAGTGTGCAAGAGGTCTACAAACAGGAACTAATCTCACCAACATGCAAAAGAGCATGTTAAAGAACTGTTTGGACTAATAAGCACCAAACCAAAAACTGCAAGGTGCAAAGCATAGCCACAAGCATGGCCAATTCCACACCCAGTTTGCACTGCATACCAGCATAACTGTAAAAAATAGTCTAAACAAATTTTCATTATCGATGAACTTACTTGGCGCATCTGGCACATATGCTAACACGTATAGACTCTGATGTTCCATTTCCTTGTCTAATGGACTGCCAGTAAAAAAAAATGTCAAGATGCTTCAAGAAACAAACCAAATTGTCAGGCTCTTTATTTCAGCCTAGTAACCTGAATGACTGCTGCTTCTGGTTAAAAAGCTCTCTTAGCCCATTACAAAATCTGTTTTTCAATTAGATACATATATTTTATACATATATTTTATACATATATTTCTAATTTTCAATTAGATACATATATTTTACAGGCCACTACATCTTAAATTTTACCTTGGATAGTCTTGATCCCTTACTGCCCATGTTTGACACCCCTTCAGACTCCAGATCATCCACATTTTCTTAAGACAAAAAATATTCAACAATGAACATCTTCAATGCATAATAATTTCCCAATTTGATCATGTCATCATTATTTTAAACTACCTAATAATTCTGTGCCATCATCATGGTGGTCTTCACCATCATTTATGCCATTAACATCTCCACCCTGGTGACTCTTGTTCACAAGAAGAGCTTGAAGCTGCCGGCGATGTTCTTCAGCTGCATGTCTTGCTTTTGTTTTCCGTGACCTAGAAGACCTGTAAAAATATCATAAAATGTGCTCAGTAGTCAAAATACACTTGTACTGTGCAGTTGCATGGCACTGTTCATCATAAAAAAGCCATTACAAGCACAAGTAATTTATTGAAAATTTTCATTCTCACCCATATGACGCCACAGATGATGAATCATTTTCTTCTTCTCTGGTTTTTATATCCTTCCCCATATTGAGCTCATCTTCCAGATTATCATCAACATAGTTTGCTGGACCTGATGAAGCAGCCCGGCGGTTGTAAATTACTCTCCTTTCTGCTGGCACTGCCTGTGAATTCAAAGGAATGAAAAGGTTTCAAACACCCTGCATACAAAAACCAGGTAATTTGTTCTCTATTAAATTACACTCAATCAACAATACTTTGAAAAGGAAACATCTCAGTCCTCCTCTATTGCTTAATGCCAAGTGACTTATTTCCACACAAAGTGTCACCGCTGACTCAAACATTGAGATCAAGGTAAGGATTGCCAACCTTAGATGCTCTTGATTGTCAAACAGATTCTCCCTGTCAATGTCATGAGAAATGAATTGAGGGCATATGGAGAACATGCTTATTGAAGTTAGGAAGTTGAGGGGCAGACTAAATGAAAGTAATGCGAGAATTACTTACACTTCTCATTAAAAGTACCTTACACTCAATCAAGGCCTTGTAGAAAATGTTGAATAACAAAATTAACACTAAATTATACAATCTTGACTTAACCCTGGACATCTCAAGGCCAGGGCATTTAATAAAAGAGAATTCAAAGTACAAGTATAGGACCTGGCAAGTCATCTTTTGAGTAACAGACACAAAGTGGTGCAATTGTCTAATCAGGACTGTAGACTACTTTAATCAACACTAAAACTAATGTAGTCAGTAAAATTGAATAATTTTACATCTAGCACATACCATTTCCCCATTTCTTCCCCATGATGAAGCTATAAAGAAAGAGATTTACATTCAAATAAATGAAAATGCCTTGTGACAATTGCCGTTGTCAAATAAAATGCATATCTGTAACATTTTACCAAGAACCTTTGTTTTAATTGTTGTAGTCAGTACAAGATTTGAGAAAACGAGCAGGCCTACACACTTTCACTGCAACTGAGTTTAAAAAGTATCTAACTTTGCATTAAGCTGCATGTCACCTACTTCCTTGATATGCCCTGACATCTTGATCAACAGTCCTGGGTTGCCTGTGCTGCATGTTAAACCACTCATCAAAGTCCTGTGATGGTACAGCAGTCCTGTGATTCCATGGTGGTCTCTCACCATCACTTTGGGTTTGTCCTAAATTTAAAAATAAATAAATAAGACGACAGATAGAGAGAATGAAAAATTAAATTCATCTTTCATTGCAACAAAAATAATACAAGAATTCAAGACTGATCTCACTTATAAAGTTCCGCTAAGTTCGAATAACTAGTGTAAGCAGCTATTTATGAGTCTTTTACTTGTGACTGGAGAGCAAGCAATAGTTGAATTAAACAGTGATCTGTATAATTCAACTATTTTGACAACTTTTAGAATAAAAAAAAATTATCTGTGGGGCAGGTTTAAGTTACAAATGGCAGCAACAATTCCCTGCCTATGAAAAAGAAACTTTCAGTTAAAAATCTTTCTTCCTGAAACAAAATCTTTTAGCATCAAGAGGTCTCATGAACTCAGGTCAGTTTGAAATTGTGCAATGCTTGTATTGAAGCAGTGTACATAACATAATGCTGTCTGTTAGCTACTGTTTCCTTGTTTCAGTGTACATACCTGTTCGAGCAGGTGGTCGCATGTTGTCTCTGTCCCCTGCTCCTACACTCTTCATTGGCTTACTACCACTCAGCCAAGGCCGTGGATAATCTCTGCCCATTGTTTTAGATGCACTGCTTGGACGTGGTCGTGTTCCATCTGTGCGGGAGTCTGGACCAGCCCAAGACTTGGCCAACAGGTTTTGATCTATGAGTAAATGAAGGTGCCTTTTTTGACCTATCAAATAACCTCATACTGTTTGAACACATTTCATAAATTTCAAGGGAAAATTTAAAAATTAATAGAAAGAGGAAGAGCTGTATATTATGTGCAGGGTTACCAACCTGTAGTATAGTATTATTAATTGGCTTACCATCATCAAGTGAATGCCGTGCAGCTGGTGATCCTGAGACACCCATAGATCTTGCAAAAGATACCTTTGATCCTGAAGGGGGTAGTGATGATCCATGCCCCTGTTTACAAAGATACATTTCATTACTTACATGTACAAGTATCTGGGCTAACAAACAATCTGTGTTCCTATGACTTAGAAATATTAGCTTTTGTCCAGTGTTCCCAGGTCTCTGGAGAAAAATGAGATTTTTATCATTAAAATGAACAATTATTGAATGAGGTTTGACAAAATATTCTGACTTTTTGTGAAAAGTAGATAAATTATTCAATAAAACCAAAGGCTGGGAATGATAACTGATCTCTGACAAGTTTAATAAGAATTTTTTGCCACACCTCAGAGTTCAATAACTGTTTATTATTTGAATACCCAAGATATTTTCATAATCCCATTAACAAATCACAGTCTGACAGGTTTGGGAATCAATCTGCCCAACTTCCATGGACATATTCCAGTGTTAGTGATGAGCAAAATTATTCTTACAGCAAGACACACCTGGATGGTATTGCAGATGAGAATAAAAATATCTGTAAGCAGTTAATTGCAAGTCCCATGGTGGGATCTAGACCAAGACTAACAAGACATCAGTGCAAATCCTCCCCACCTAAAGAATCATGTCTAAGGGGTACATGTGGTAAATTTTTGGAACAAACTGAGATGACTATCACCTTAGACCCTTCAGAATACAACTTTTTCAAAACTTTAATCAGATAACCAACTGGATCGTCAGGTGTATCCTTGATCACTTTTGCCATAAGATCCTAAAATAAAAGTTGTAAAAAAATTTTCAAACAACATTACAATATATATGTTGACAACTTTGACCCTATGGCATCTGTTTCATGTCACACAATTTAAAGTAAAAAAAAAAATTGGTGACTAAGAAAAAAGTTGAGCTTGGGATTGAGGGAAACCCCTTAACAAATTCTAAATATAAACCTGCCTCGCTATTTTCACCCACATCAAGCAGATCCCCCTCTCTACTGAATTTAAAAATGGACCTCAACGCCCTGCTCCGCCAAAATTATTTGAGAACAATATATGCTGAGCTGATGTAACGTAAATTTGCGAAATTATGTACGTTTTGATGCGAAGCTAGCCAAGAAGACGGAAAAGAAATCAAGAATAATAAATAACGATTTCTTTTGGAAAAACCTGAAAAAAAACATATCAAGACACCATTCCTATTTCTCACCTCTGTATTCTACAGTTAGCATAAGCTAAATAATGCACGATGTGCTTTTTTATTATGATAAGGAATAATGTTGAGACTGAATGTTTCCCTAGACATGCTCGATTTTAAGTACAAGCGGTAACTAGTAGAAATCACAAACTGGGAGTCTAATTAGTTTATTTTCTTCAAACCCTTAGAAGGTGTGTAAGCACTTGTGGTCAGTTTTTCATTTATTCAATTCGAAGTTTTGATCAAAAGTTGGGGTCGGAATAAAGCGCGTAAAAATGTACATCGTTACCTCAAATAAAGCTCCTATGCGGTGTCTTTCTAAGTACTCCTGTACTTGCTGCGCAGCCATATTTAAGTTCACTTTCTCAAACACATTAACCACAAATATTTGTCGTAATAACTATGTGTTATCAATGTTGTTTACCGCCATTTCGATTTCCCAGGAAACGCTTCCCAGGGGTCTTTGCGCATACTCTTCGATGGCCCCTAAAGGTTGTGGGTGTCTTTTGGACTATTCATGTCCATTACATGATGGACTAGTTGCTTCGAAGAATCTGCAAGAGTGGGGTGACTCCCCGAGCGATAGGAACTTGGGATGTTTTGTGCAAGGCGAGCTGTTCGAATATTTGGTCGCAGAGGGCGTTCTGTGGCTTTGCGATCAACTCTTTGTGAGTTACATTCACAGGTACAGCGAAGAACAGTGTTAGTTTGGTCCACGAGGTGAGAAATGTCTTGATCTATTGTATAGCAATTTCGACCCACTACGGACAGAATGTAAAATGGTACTTTGTTTTTGATTACATGATCTCTATTGCTTCAATGTGATGGAATTTAGCTACCGAGATTTTATTGCCCTAGCATTTGGGCAATGAAAAAAGAAGGAGAAGAAAAGAATGTCTGATCTAACCTATATCACAATTTAAGAGTAAGATTTCAAGCCGCCGATATTCTTCGGAGATCACCGGATCGGTCATTACATCTGTTTCAGACAGTTCATATTACAATTTTATTTTCAGAGATGTGCCACGCTTCAGACACGTGCTCTCCACAAGTCTACCAAAATGTGGCTTTCGCTGGTTCAGCTCAGAGGGTAAGCTTTCGCAAAGATTAATTACCTGATAAAATTCATGCACTTCATCAAATTTGCATTTTATTACTAGTGCAATAAACAAACGGAAGGGAATGTGTTCTAGTCCCAATTTCGTTTTGATCATACACTCAACAACTTCCTTCCTCTCTCTCAAAGAACTGAAACAGCCTCAAGGAGAGAGGATTCAGTTAAACTCTTACTTTGGCCAGCAGTTGAAAGTTCTTGAGTCTGTTAGAGTCTGAGTGTTCCTTATGTGTTTACGTTACCCATGCCTAGCTATTATGTAACATCTGTTGGTCTTGTATCAGATCATAAGTGGAGGGCTGTTATTGGAAACTGGTTCTTGTGATAACTTTGTTTGATATGCGAACTCCTCTTGATCCTAATTTTAGTGATGATAAGAAGTAGAGAAAAAACACATCTTGGAATGTTTTCTAAAAACTTTCCTAATCTTGATTGTAAAAGAAGATTCCCATAATGAACCCCCCTTGATCCCAATTTGATGAGATGGAGATGTTGAGAAAAACATCTTTTTTTTGGCTTAACCTTCCAACTCTTGATTCTGAAAGATGATTCCTAAGGTAAACCTTCCATATCCCCAAAAATCCTCTGCTTCATATACAAAAAATAATTATGATAAAAATCTCAGTGACCCTCATAAACAGTCCAGGTTTATGACTATGCGTAACAGACATTTGTATTTCTGCACTTCTGTCCCACTTCCTATGCTTATGATTCCAGTTTTACACCCTCCTCCCTCTTTCTTCTGTAGGTCTACCCCCTCACACAAAAGTAAAACTACCAGCTTTGTCACCAACAATGGAAATGGGAACCATTGTGAGCTGGGACAAGCAGGAAGGTGATGAACTTAGTGAAGGAGATCTGCTAGCACAGATTGAAACAGACAAGGCCACAATGGAATTTGAAACCCCTGAGGAAGGCTTCCTTGCCAAGATTTTAATTCCTGCTGGTTCCAAAGATGTTCCTATTGGTAAACTTTTGTGTATTATTGTTGAAAAGAAAGAAGATGTTGCAGCATTTGAGTCTTTTGTGCCTGAAGAGACAGCTGCACCACCTGCAGTAAGTGAATGTAACGTTTGCATGATACTCCTCTATTTCTCCCTTCATTTTCCTTCCCATTTCCACTTTGCTTCCCGTCCTTTCCCTCCTTCCAGTCCCCTGCCATAGAGTCTTTTCCGTTGACATTCAAAACTGCCTTCAACTGACTGCAGACTTCAAAGTGTTGTGCCAGAGGTACATGTGAAATAGGAAAATAAAAGAATCAATCTTACATCAAGAAGAAACAAGGATGGCTAAAAGTATTAAAAGTGATTGAAAGGATGAAATCAAAAAATTGAAATCAAATTTTTCCAGTCGTAGAAACCCTATACAGCTCTGTAAGGGTCTCACAAGCACTGCAGATTTCCCTTCCTTTTAAGTAAAACACTGAATGAGTTTAGAGAAAGATGTTTTTCGTCTTGTCACGAGTGTGGGACAAAGAAAAAATTCTGAGTCCTCATGAGGAAACAAACCTCAGACCTTCAGATTCCACACTCCGATACTCTACCACTGAGCCACAGAGACTCTATGGCAAGCAAGGTCTATTATGAAGTTCATAAGTATTAAGAAGTTCATATGAACCCTATTCCTAGCAGTTTAGACATTTAAGTTTACACCATGGCCAGGAGATTGTGTTGTGTTCTTAACTTGAAGTAAGTTAATTAACCCTCACAGTAGATCTCTCTAACCTGGGCAAAAAAGGAGTCAAACAAAACTGTCAGGAAAACCTGACAAAATGCTAAGGGATAACCTTAACCAGCATCTCATCTATAAATAAACTCCAAGGAAGTTTATTTCATTTGGATTTATGTTTACCTACTTTTTTTTTCTTGTAGGAGAAGCCTGCAGAACCAGCAGCTGCTGCTGCTCCTCCCCCACCCCCAGCACCATCTCCCCCACCCCCTCCTCAGCCTGTGACTCTTGCCCCTCCCTCTCCCCCAGCAGCTGCACCAGGTGGTAGAGTATTTGCCAGTCCTCTGGCAAGAAAGATGGCTCAGGAGAAAGGCATAGAATTAAGTGTAAGTAATACTGTGAGATCAGTGGACATATTTTATGTTGAATAGACATTTATGAGTGATGAATGACTGAGTATTTAATGTCACAAAACTGAAGTCAAATTTTTCATGACAACCAATCTGAAAAAAGTGAAAATTAAGAGGAGCCAATTAGAACTTACTATGAATACCTGTTAAAACATTTGTGTGGCTGAAATGGAAGAAAGGGCATATAGTATCTTCCATTTTGATCCATTGAATATTTTTGCTGAAATGCAGTTGGTCTAAAGGCATCACATGGCTGAATATTCCCCAGCTAAAACTGCATCATATTATTGGTGGTTGAGAAGGTGGCACAGATTTGCAGACTAAATTACAAATTTTGTTTAAGTGTACTTTTTGCTGATGATTCTTGTCCAATGTTCAGTCTCTTCAGGGGAGTGGTCCTGGTGGACGGGTGATAGCACAAGATGTGACCGGTGCAACTCCTGTTGTTGCAGCAACTGCACCTGCACCAGTTTATGTACCAGGTAAGTGTAAGATGGAATTGCAGTGATACCCAAGATGGCTGTTGTCTACTGGCTAATGATAAAAACAGCCTGTATCAAAGTTGACCGGGTCAATTTTGTGTTTTAGTCAGTCAAGGAAGGTGGTAGATTTTGACTTCTTACAAATGCCAGTCCAATGAAGAAAAAGTTATCTATTTTGTCACTAGTGGGACACAAAGAAAAGTATCTGAGTTCTGCCCCCCCCCCCCTCCCCCATCCCACAAGAATTCACACCTTGCACCTTCAGACAATTATGGAATCAGAAGCTCTATATTAAATAAACCCTCAGGGGTTAAGAGGGGATCAGATTTTTTCTTTGTCCTACTTCTATCTGTTTTTGGTTCAATCAAACAAACTCACTGAATTTAAAAGGAAAAAATAAGATTTCCTGCTTGGAATTATTTCATTTGCCTTTTCCACAAGGTTGGTACCAAAATGGTTAGATTATATTCCAATTAATTCTAGAAACAGATTAGTGTGAGAGAGACTTGTTTGTACTCCTACTGACAGAAGTTAACATAGAAGACTTTGATTCTTTTGTGTCTTACACTTAGTGTTATTAACTTGCTTCCAAACATATGAGGCCTGGGCTATAATTTTAACCCTACAAGCATTGTAATCACTGGGTGAATGGCATATTTATTCATTGTTTGGTTTTGTGTTCTCTGTGTATTTTAGGTGCAGAGTTTACTGATATTCCTCTATCAAATGTTAGAAAGGTACGTGTAATGGAATCAAGATTCTCCTTTGGAGGTCAAACTACAATACCAGGTTCTTAATTTTAGTTTAATACATGTTTCCACAGGTTATTGCTAGAAGACTTCTTGAATCAAAGCAGACAATTCCACATTATTACCTGTCAGTGGATATCAGATTGGATGATTTGCTCGAGTGAGTGTAATGACTTAATAGACAATTAGTCAATGGAAAAGATGCAAAGATTAATTGTATCCTGATTCAAATCCCTGTTGTTATTCTGGGTGAAATGGCAAATGAGTGCATCATCCTTTCATTTCCTAGACCTAATTAACAATTCTCTACATTTTCTGGCATACGTCTCTTATAGTGTTAGCTCTGCAAATGTGGTGTTAAGTGAAACAATATAGCTTTGATGATATGTTTCTTCCTTCTCATCTCTCACTGCTGGAAATTGTACTGATGTTGAAAGGAGAAATTCCAGTTTCGTCACTGGTATGAGCAAGAGGAATGAGCTGCAAGTTGTTTTTTTAAGCAGCAGAGACGTGAGAATCATGCGGCAGCTTCTACGTAGAATTCTTTACGTGTATTTCACAGGCCTGATTTATTTTAAGTCAGATTTGGAGAATGTTCTGTTGTTACTTTATACTACTCTTCTGTGGCTACATTTCTTCCTGAAAACCCTGTTTATGAAGTGATTTTTATTTTGTCTTTCAGAGTAAGAAAGCAACTGAATGCAGATTCTAATGAAGAATACAAACTCTCAGTCAACGACTTCGTCCTAAAGGCCTGTGCTTTGGCCTCTAAAAAGGTTCCAGAAGCAAACTCGTCGTGGATGACGGATTTCATCAGACAGTAAGTTTAGCAGTGTTATAAATTTACAGCTAATTATTTCTCTCCCTTTATCAAGACGGTGGGGTGGGAAGGAGGGGCGGGAAGGGAGAGAGGGAGAAGGGGGGATGTTCGGTTTGGATTTAAAATGATAACCTTTATGTAAAATCTAATTTCAGACACCATAATGTTGACGTTAGTGTTGCTGTGAGTACAGAATTTGGATTGATCACACCCATAGTTTTCAATGCGGATAAAAAGGTGGGTAGAAAGCTTTTTAAAGTAGTCATTTGTCTGACCTTTGTCACGCATTGTTATGTTTTTCACTGTGCAAAAAACCCGTTATAGTCTCCTTTGCAGCTGTTGTTTGACGAGGTCAAGCAATGCTAACTGTTCCTAAAAGTAAGTTGCGTGACGCGGAAACTGAACTCAGAGAGGGTCTAAATATCTCAAGTGGAAGGAACGGCAAGGCATCATCGCAGTAAACGACTAGAGAGAAAAATGGCGAAACAATTACTGTTGGAAAGGAAGTGTGTTGAGAAAGGAAAAGAAAAACAAGGCCAAAATGAGAGAAAAGAGAAAGTGAATGGGAAAGCTTGGGGAAATAAAGAAAAAGTACATTTAATACAGAAATAGAGGGGATATTCAGTAACCCATTCCTGACCTTCTTAAAAGGCAGACGTTGTAGAATGGGCTTATTTACGGACTGTTTAAGTAGAATAGCTGTAGGAAAGGCAGTAACGTAACGGCTATAGCTTAATTGTGTATTGTTTCGGAGAAAGGCACCTTTCTCTTGCAGAGTCTCCCTCCACTCAGGAGTATAAATGGGTATCTGCGAAGAAGCTTTTTAACGAAGGCATATTTCAGTCGTCGATTCTCTGTGTAGGCCAGTGGTATTCCATCTAGAAAGTGTAGCTTCGTGCTGAAATTGAGATAAGCAGAGGTCTGGCTGCTTTCCGAGTTAACATTGTATACTGACATACTTTTTGTTTAAAAGCAAGGTGGTTTGCTTTTCTAACATCCTTGAATAATTCTGATGAGTAATAAAGCCGTGAAGACTGTAATAGTCCTCTTTCCAGAGACTTAATAGTCCGTGATGAATTTTCTTCAGGGCTTACAAGAGATAAACGCTGATGTAACTACTTTAGCCCACAAAGCCAGAGATAACAAACTTCAACCTCATGAGTTCCAGGGAGGCACAATTACAGTGTCTAATCTTGGGATGTACGGTGTTAAGAACTTTTCCGCCATTATCAACCCCCCTCAGGTAAGTGATTTTATTTCGTATTGGTGCTGCTATCTCAATTCGAATTGTCTGCAAGCACGAAGCGCCTTCCGATTGAGTGTCGTGAAACCAAATCCAAAGTAATTACAACGGTCAATCAAAAGAAAGGGAAAATACCTTTAAGAGCCAATGAGAATACGAAAGATAAACAATTCAACTGTCTAAAGCGCGGGAAAACGCGGTTGACCAAGTCATGATTGGTTTGGGTTTTGCATCTGATCGGTTTAGAGAGTGGCGCGAATTTTCTGGAACAATCGCCGAGCGAGGTAAAGAAAGACCCATGCAATCCCAGATTATCGCGGATTACTTTGGACACAATTGCTGTATTTGACGAGTTTGAACAAAACATCGTGATTTGTCGGCGGCAGGTAGTCCAATCTGACAATGTGCAATAATTTACGATAAAAAAAGTTCAGTAGTTGTCGTATTCTTCGATTTTTAAATTTGTTTTTCTTGATTATTTTTGGGAAATTAGGCTCTTACAGTTTGAAGACGTGATCAGCCATTTTTCATGGACGAGCGCTGACACATCTACGCATGAGCAGAATATCCTAAACTTGTAGTGATGGGGTTGAAGGTGATATTAACTTTATCCCACACACTGATTCTTAACATTTACTTTCTGTATTTTCTCAGGCCTGCATTTTAGCTGTTGGAAAGGCAGAAAAACAGGTCGTTGTGGACGAAAATAGCGAAAAGGGGTAAATTATGTTGTGGCAGTTGTTGTTGTTTTTGTTGTTGTTATGTTATCGATGCGTAATTCGTTACCTAATTCTGAGAAAGCGGTTGCTCGCAGTAGCAAATTTTTCTCGAAATTCTGCCCCCCGTCTTCTTTTCCTTACTTATCTCAGTCTTCCTTCCGAGAATTATTCGCCGTCTGGTTGGAAGATCTAAAACTTTGATCAGTTTACTGAAGTATTCAGGCAAACAGCGAGCATTTTATATGATAGAATTATACCGTGAAAGCGAACAACAAATATTCACCAGAGATTTAATTTTGTTGTCATCGTGTAACGCATCTCGCAAACGATCACAACATTTTGTTCATGATGAAGAAAATCGGACATTTTCATTTGATTTTACAGCATTAACCCTTTACGTTATGCATATTCTCCATACTGTTCTCTATACATTTCCAAAGGTGCCATAAGGAGAATTTGTTTAACAATCAAGAGTTTCTTTAACTGGTGATCATTTCCGTTTTTCTCGTGACCTCAATATTTGATTCAGGGGTGATGTCGTCAGGAGATGTAAGATGGTAGTAACTCTTAGGGATTAAAGGGTTAACCGCTGAAAGACAAATAGCGAAAGCTCAAGTCCTGGCCCTTGAATTCTACGCTAAGTCACTTTAATTCTTTTTCTTTTTACTTTCACTTTTAAAAACAGATACACAACCGGAACAATGATGTCTGTCACTTTGAGCTGCGATCACCGAGTTGTTGATGGCGCTGTTGGAGCGCAATGGCTGTCAGCTTTTAAAAGCTATTTAGAGAAACCCCTTACAATGTTGTTGTGAAGGGAAAGCCAATTTAAATCATGGAACAGCACTCACGGGGAAGCCAGGCCTGGCGAATTTACTTCTGAAACACAGTAAAATACCTTATTCCAAGAGATTCTGAATTATAATTCTTATGACCGATTGACATTGAAGGAGTCGAGACGGTTTTGAAACGGTTTGCAGTGACTATAAGTTGGTTACTTGGTATTATATGGATATAATTTGAGTGGTCAGTGTGTGCTGGCGGAAAACTTAACTTAGATTTTCAATATTCGTTCTTTCTGAGAAGGGGTTTGCATGGCGAAACCAAACAACGGCTGCGAATGATGCATGCGATTGACACTATTTCTCAACAATTCGTTTCTTGATAACTTCGATTGGGTTTCTTCCCTTGTGGGTAATGCATGCTATTTATTTCTTAGCATATTGTTAAGGAAGTAATTCTTAAATAATTGGCAAAGATAAAATTTAGTGATCTTCTCTCTCATGTAATTTCTGATAGCTGTGAAGAGGGGAACTCTACCTCTTAACTTTACGACCGCAAGTTGATTTTTATTGCAGTCGAACGAATTGGAAAATTGGGTCACACCCAGGTGTTTGGTTAGTTTGTTTGTTTGTTCTTTTTATTTCGCACGATCTATATTTCAAAAAAATAAGAAAAATTATTATCCTTCTAATTGTGTCAATAAACTGTTCATTTAACATTTTTCAACATTTTTATCTTCTCGTTATCGTTTATACATTTGGCTCTGCTTGCAGAGGTGGGGGGAATCTTTAACGTGTTAGTAAATAAGGTGTATGTTCTCTCTTTTACCCAGAGTGCTTCTCTTCTGATAACTAACTAGCGCATGCTCGACCTACAAATAGTTTCACGCTATGTTCACGTGCGACGACGTCACCAAACAACACAACGCCTCCTGCCCAAGTAAACTAATGACGCGCAAAGGAGAAAAGGGTCAAATCAACTCCTTGCTATGATCCTTCGCGCCACGCGCTCGTTACCAGTTGCTTGCGCTTCAAACCCCTTTCACAGAGTATACGTAAATGCCTGAGAGGCAGATGTACATGCAACAAGAAAAGAAAGGATAGCCAAAGGGGTGAAACCCGTGTGTTCTGCTAATAGAAATCGCACACCTTTATCTTCTTCCATGAAACATGAACGAGCGCGAGGGCTTTCCCTTAAAAACTTTTCGGTTGAAGGTAATAGCAATCAATATTATATTAATATAATATCCTAGTTTAGGTTGCTTGTCAAAATAGCATCGCTGTGCCTTGGTCTCGACAATTTTTTAAGCGTGAGAGTGAAGGAGAAAACCACAGCAACAATTCTCAAGCAAAACTCACTGCTGTAAACAAGGCTCTTTAAATTCGACCTGAGAGACAAGTCAAATAGGATGAGCTTGACAAAAAAAAAATAAATTGAAAGTCGTGTTGGTTGAAATTCAGTCCACTGCCTGCAAGTCTGAACTTCAAAAAGTCAGTCCAAATCAATCATTATCCTCCTTGTCTCCTTCTTCAAACTGCTCATTCAAAGGAAGCCATGTGATTCTTCCGTCCTGTAGGACATGTTCAGTGGGAAGGCTGTCCAAATGTTGAATGTTTTTCCTGACATACTCCACCAGCCGGCCGAGCTGCTCAGCATCTGTGCGATTCTTGTTCTGAAACAAGTTTCTGATGATCAAACACAGGGACAGATAGTTATTTTTCATTGATAAACCGTTAGTTATTCAAGTGAGGAATTTATTGACTACGAAATTTGTTGCTGACTTTTCAACAACCCTGCAGGAAATAATGTACAGATTTAACCCTCAACACTCTAACATCAACATGCATCTTCTCCATATTGTTCCCTATACATTTCCTAAGATGCTGACAGGGAGAATTTGTTTAATAATCAAAAACTTCTTGATTTGGTGATCATTTCTTTTATTCTCGTGACCTTGATGTGAGATTCAGGGGTGATATTGTAAGGAGAAATTCAATGCTAGTCCACTCTTAGGGGTCAGGGATAAGAGAATGGTGTCCTTGCAGGCTCTCACTTTTTGTACCATGCCTTTCACTGACTCATCTCAGATAGCTTCACCATATTTACCACAGCAGCAAGGATATTTAAGTAATATAGTTTACCAACTATATTACTTAAAAATTTCACTTCTTGATTCATAAGCCATATTCCCTCTTGTTTGAGGAACTGACTTTTCTCGTAAGAAACAATTCAATTTGGGGTTGCCTTTTTTTGAGAGAGAGATTAACATGGCAAGGGGATAATGAATCCTTGATCGACCTCAAAGCTTAAGCTAGGTAGAGCAACACCTTCCGTTAGTTACTATTTCCTTTGAAACCAAAGGGAACTTATATGAAACTGAGAAAGTGAAGCTGACCTCCATAAAACTGTGGCCAGGACTCTGTCATCACACAGCAAACCCTGAAAAGAAATTAATTGTGCATTAAAATTATCAGAGCTGGAAATATTAACTAGAATACCTTACTTATATCATCTGCGACACACCACTTTTATTTTAGGACCCCACCCCTCTTACTCAGGTTCCATCAACACTACTCGAATGAAATTGAAAAACCAGCTGCAAAACAATCTGCCATGCTAAAAAATTCCAGTAAGATCCTGAAGCAGGACCCTCCTCCCCCTTGAATCTGAAAATTTATTTTTTAAATTTCCCTTTTACCCATCTAGGAGAGGACCTCAAAAGCTGCGGCACATCAAAGTCAGTCAGTCAGTAAGGGTGCAACACTTGTTATCATACCTCATCATATCCAATTGATAGACCATTGAACTGCTGCTGTAACACTAGCAGGGTATCTCGCTTCTGAACCGAGTCAATGGTCTGTGAAAGGTAATAACAGCAATCTCATTACCAATCTTTTCTAACCAGAGTTCAGTATCTTAACTGAATAACATAAATTGTCCTTCATACATGGCACATAAGTGTACTTTTTACCAAAGTGAGTGTGGAGGGGCCAAACCATTTTTCAGGGCACTAGGCCATGTGAAATATCATACTTGAAGCATACAGTAGTACAACAATCCATAAATCATTTTCAACAACTTATTTGTGAAGATTAATAGTCATACCTTGAACTAACTCCTACTGATTCCTAGTATATAAAAATAATCATCTGCACAGTAACGTAGACTTACCCCTAAGTTATCAATTCTTTCCTCCACATCAAGCCACATCATCCTAACAAGTGTCTTGTACATGTATCTCCCATCTTTACCCTCAGCTTTGAGCCGCACCAAACACATCCTTAAAATAAAAGAAAACACCAAATCTTTTCAGAAGCAGACAAAGGAAAGCCAAACAGACTATCTTGTGTATCCTACCTGCTTTAAGTTGCAGGAAAAAAGTTTGACCTCATTTTCATGCAGTAAAAAATGCAAACCTTATTCTGGAACATTTATCTATTTTACCACAATGCAAGATATAGAATAGAAAAAAATCAAGAACTTTCCAGACTTAATATCTAGTTTCCATGCTATTCCAAATCTGGTAAACTACTTTGTAGAGTTCCAAAGCAGGTTTGGTATGGGTCATTTCAGAAAAAAGAAGTACCAGTGATAAATTTTTCCTCAATCCTGCTCACAACAGAGTGAGTGATACATTGCACTTTCTTGATCTCTAAATCTATCCACTCTACTTTACCAGTATTCATTGAGACAGTTGCACAAAAAATGTTTAGCTAGTGCTCCATTGCAACAACACTTATTTCAAGGATCTATCTTGTAGCTAATATAATCTTTACTCACCCCACCCTCACCCCTCTCCTTAATAAAAATTTCTTTCTCCCCCCAGCCTTTTTCTGCCATTAAAATCAAAGATAGTGGCTATAATTTTTGTTAAGAAAATACTGAGCACTTGCTCCCCAAAATTACACCTGCTTAGCTGGCAATAAATGACTCTATACAAACTGACAGAAACTCACCAAATGTGAAGGTGAAGCACAAGAAACCATGACTGCAATGTGTCAGGTAATTCGAGAGCTGTCAGAGAGAACAAGACTCAAAATGTGAGCAATTTTATTCACTGAGAACCATACTGTGCACTTCTTTCAACCATTACATCTCTGCTATCTTACACAACATTCTATTTAGCCCAACATAGGCTACAAATTAAAAATGAAATCTATGGAGAAGAAGTTACAAATCTAAACTAGAGAAATAATATACAAAAGGCATATATTTTAAAATAAATTTGGACAAACTAAACTTGTGTAAACCTGAAATACACTATTATTGATATCCATACCCAGACCTAATTTTGATAAGAAACTCCTGGTTTTATCATTCAGTAGTAGAACTAACAGGATAAATCATTTTAAATTAGTCATTAACCTTTTAAACCCTAAGAGTGACCAGCATTTGATTTCTCCTTATGATAATATTGCTGAGTCATTTATTGCAATCCTGAGAAAAGAGGAAGTGATTGCCAACCTAAGACACTTGGATTAATATCAGTATCTGGGCAACTGCCCACCTACCCCTCCCCTAACTCAACAAAGAGTCAATTAATAACAAGTTAGGGTTAATGGTGGGTTAGGGGAGGAGTCGGTGGGCAGTTGCCCAGATACTGATATTGATTCAGAAGCTTTGATTGTTAAACAAATTCTCCTTTTCAGCACCAAAAGAAGGGTACAGAAAAGAGTATAGAGAATATGGATGCTGATGTTGGGGTGTAAAGGGTTAAGTTAGTAGAACTATTTTGTTCTATTAAGGCTCACCTTCAAAGAACTCCTCAAAATTCATTCCTTCCACGCAACACTCATACATGTTCCTTGCACCACCCACTAAAACCTGTAATCGCAAAGACATAAATTAAAATCACATTGAAGAGAGGGTTTTTAACAGTGCACATTCAATGTAGTGCACCTACTGAATGCTGTGTTGCAAATGCATTGCCCTCAGTTTATACATGTACTGGACAAGGAATTGAAAATATCAGATTTAAACCCTGGCCTGAGTCATTGTGTCGAGTTCTTAGGTAACCCATTTTATTATCTCAGTGACTGATCTCTCCACCCAGATGTGTAGGAAAGGTAATCTTCCTCAAAAATATTTCTAAAAAATACATGTGATAAGTTACAACCAGTAGTGAAAATGTTTATACACTTCTTCCAAAGCAGCTTTTTTTACCTGCATCAATTATTAATTAAAAATAAGAAAACTATCATTAAAACTCTCCCCCTCCTCCCTTCCTTATTGAAATTTATTGATCTAGGAAATGAAATTAAATATTTTTATTCAATAAACTGCAACTCACTGTTTTGTTCACTAAGGGTGCAGCCACTACTTTCAAAACCTTGATGATTTTGTCAATCCATGTTCCACCATTTTCTTTATTTTCTATTGCACCAACAGTGCCTTCAGATCCCTTAAATCAACAGTGAAAGAAAATCATATTTCATTTTAATTAATAGAACATGCGGTGAGAACATGTGATATGGGAAGAAAATTTAGATTGACCATTGTTTCTACTCCATTACTAAATTGTCAGCCTGAGAAGTTACGATAGCCAACACAGCATCACAGAGGGACGTATAGATTGGAAATTTTTGTGGTGAGTTAAATTCAAATTAAAATAAATATTTGCTCAAACAACAGAAGTTAAGAGCAATTTGAACAAGAGTAAACTTCTGCCACAGGTATTTCTGCCAACTGTTTAACAAAACATTAAAATCATTTTTACCGGAGCTGTTGACTGGAATCTTCTTTTGTAAGCACTAGCATTGTTCAGTATGAATCTGTTCTTTATGCCCTTGACTTCATGTTCATTTTGCACCACCTGAACCTTTCCACACGCCAAGCAGCTCAGTGGAACCTACATAAATAATAATAGTATTTAGGGAATGTATAATTTGTTGTATTGATTTAGCTTTTTTATGATGCGGTAATTGCTGTTCAGCAGTAGGTGGCATTTCCCTCCAAATAATTTTCTTTACTTAAGTTCTGCACCCCTTGACTGCCCAATTTAAGTGTGCTGGCTCCAGTTGAGTCAAACTGGTCACTTTCTAGGTAAGACATCTACACAGCCCTATACTTCAATATGCATACAGTTCTTAGATAAAGAAAACAAAAGCAAAAACAACAGATTGTCTCTGGGACTACTGCTTGGTTTAATCATAAGGGTCTGTGTTATCTTATCACTGTTTGTGTTCCAACATGCACAAATATTGGTACAACCTGACTATTAACTTTTATATTGGTTGGAGGGTTCAGTTTAGGTAGAAGAGAGGAAAAATGAAATTACTCACACTTCATTATTACTAATCATGGAAGGATGAAAAACAATAAATAGGAGAAGAGACAGAAACTAGATAAATTGAAAAAAAAAAACCTCTCGATGCGTGGAGTTGCTCTAGAGCCAACATCCAGACGAGATTGTCAAAACTACCGGTATCTCGATGTGCTTTAAGTTTTGATTAACATTTCAGGCATTTACCCATCCCTAAAGCCCTTTTCGACCATATCTGCTGTCTCCCGCTAATTTAAACTTCCCCAATTCTCTTCTTCATTTGGGATATTTTTCTCTTGTTTCTTGTATGTTGCTTCATCCTGTTGTGACAACACTGTGCTGGACTATATATATGCGGACGTACATGAAGGTACTGTGTTATGCAACGAAAAGTGTAACCATGTATATCATTTTAGAAGTCACATCACACGAAGTACTACAGTTACCTGGACAATCTTTGGATTTAAAACATTCTTCGACAGCAATAACCGTCTGAATGTCCCGGCAGATGCGAAAATCAATTTGTTACCAACTGAAAGCATTCTGAATTTAACATACAAAAGCCAGATTATTTGAAGATGATAGATTTCACAAAGTACATCTCCTGCAGTTAAGACGAAAAAATGCGTTAAATGATTTTAGTTACCTTCTCAGAAGATTAAAGTTACTATATGACTTGGCAATGCCATAAAAACAAAGATAAAAAAGGTTATAAAGGCCTTGAAAACTAACCTAGCTTGATAAAAACATCAAAGCCGCCATATTATGCAACACATGTGACAGCGCTTCGTCAGCGGTAGACACACAAACCCAGGCCTTCTCTGTAGGGCAGGGTCGGTCAAAATGGCGTCCGCCAACGATTGCCCGGAACCGGGTAAACTCTATAAGGAGGTCATCACTCTTGATGGTGTGCGGACGGTTTTATCGAAAATCTTACCACAGAGGAAAATTCATAAGCACGTGATTGTGGTAATTCCTGGAAATCCTGGATTGATAGAATTCTATGATGATTTTGTTACGTCATTGTTTGACGCGCTTCAAGGGCAGTTGCCGGTGTTTGGAATTTCTCATACCGGTTGGTAGACACCTCAGCCTTGAATATATTTTATCACTGAAATTATGTTTTCCATTTTTTTTTTTCACAAGCAAATGCAAATTATTTCACGTGATCCAAAACTGGGGCAAGGTCAAGTACCAAGACGCTTTCTGTTGTTAATGGGACTTTCCAAGAAAGAATCGCGTGCTTCTGAAATTTGATTATTGAGAATTTCATGTCTGAGAAATGAAGGGTGGTGTATACTTCCAACGTTTATGTTGGAGGAGGCTTTTTGGGCCAAACCTGCATTTCATCAGGAATTATGGACCTACAGTGGCTGTGATTATGAGACGATGTGTTTGTCAATATTAGATTATGAGCTCGAGATTTCTATCGCGTGACAAGGGCAAAGTTCGATGAACTGTCACGCACAGTTATCACGCACAGATATTGATACCGATCATTCCAGTTGTTTTCAATGTCAATGTTTCTTTCTTTCAAAACTCAATGAGTAAACAGTGTCAATGTTGAATAATATAAGAGTACAATGGTTCAAGCTGACTCTCTACTCAGTAGCCATTCAAAATTAGAGTGCCTGCCTCAGTGGGAGAGGACGTGTCAAGTCTGAACACAAGTCTCATGACTTGCATCTGCAAAACTCATTCTGGTTTTATTTGCAAAAAGTGATATGGAGTACTGTTCCATCCCCTGGTTAGAGTGCCTGTCAAAGGCAAGTGAACATCCACCCCTCCATACTCCCCCTAGTGTTCTTATAGCAACTGATCAGTTTTCCAGTACCCATTTACACTCTTGGGTGGGGAGGGGTGAGGTGAAAGTAAAGTGTCTTGCCCAGGAACATGTAAAAATGACCCAGCCAGGTCTCAAGCTTAGACTTATTGACCACAAGAGTCCTGTGTGCATTCAATCATAGGGCTCCTTCATCATTGACAGAGAAAATATGAGTAAGTGAATAAACAAACAAACAAAAACTAAATAAACAAGTCATATCTCAATTTTATCACAAGTCTTTCTCTTTTTTCAGGTCATTCTCCCATAGATTGCTATCCAGTGTGTCCAGGGAAAAACTGCTCTGCTGAACAAAGCTATGCTGCTGAGTCATACAGATTTCCATTGAGCCTCGAGGAACAAATCCTACAGAAAGATTTATTCTTGGAGAAGCATATTGCACCACATTCTAAAATAATACTGATTGGACACTCAATGGGAGCTTATGTTATACTAAATCTACTAAAAGATTGTGAAAGATTATCAGATATCTCCAAAGCTATTCTGTTGTTCCCAACAGTGGAACGAATGGCAATATCTCCAAATGGCAGATTTGTGACACCCTCAGTGATGTATTTGAGGTGGATAGGAATATTGGCAGCTGCTGCATTCTCATTTTTACCTCAAGTTGTGAAGAAATGGTGTGTTCAATGGTGGTTTAGTGACAGAAAGGGACTAATGCCTAGTGTTGTTGATACTGTGATCAAATTCCTTACCTATCAACCAATGGATTGTTCCTCTAGAATGGCACAGGAAGAAATGACAGATGTAGTTCACCGTGATGATGAGGTGGGTAGTATATAAAATGAAGTGAACCCTTTAATGCTAAAGAATGACGAGCATCTATTTCTGCTTGTAATATCACCCCTGAAAAAAAACTTGATTAAGATCACAAGAATAAACTAAGGGAATGATCAGTAACTGAAGTGGCTCTTGATTGTTAAACAAATTCTCCTCATAAACACCTTTGGAAATGTATGGAAAACAGTATGGAGAATCTGCATACTGATCTTAGGGTGAGAAGAGTTAACAGGACATTATAAAAATGCTGTTCATACAACTTTTCTTTGAATGATCACCCACCCAATAGCCGTACACCAACTATTATTCAGTTATGACGAAAATTTTGTGTGTTTTGATACTTAGGTAATTGAAACAAATTTGGAGAAACTGATCTTCTACTATGGAACAACTGATAAGTGGGTCCCAGTCTCCTACTATGAGGACATGAAAGCGAGGTTTCCCAGAGGGGAAATATATTTATGTAAAAGGAAGTTTGATCATGCATTTGTACTTGAATCATCAAAGGAAGTCGCTGAAATGGTTGCTTCTTGGATACAAAAGGTGGCTGCTTGAACATTGAACCAATATGCTGTCTAACTCCATAACCCCTATGATTAGATTAGAAATTCTCCTTTCCGTTTGTCATAAATTTTCTTGTAAATTGGAGAGAAGAATCAGACATTGAAGCTTTTATGTTCTCATCATGTGTTTGCAGGATAGTGTATTGTAATTGAGGGGATAATGTTTTTCTTATTTTTTACCCATTTATTAATACAAATCACAGTAATAACATTTATTTACCAATATAGCTTACAAGTGTTACATTTTATACAGATCAAGGAATATTTGCAAAACTGGCTTTTTTTTATGCTACCACCATTAACACCTAACATGCACATGTAGTTAGCTATTTAGCTTACACACACTGGCCAACTAGTTGTTATCATTGATGTGCATGTGTTCTGGTAATTTAGTGTTAGGATAGTTTGAACGTAGAATATACCTGAGATGGTTGGCTGATATGGTTATTTCTTGGATTCAAGAGTTGATTAAAAAAAAACAATATTATTTGATTTGGTTATAACCATAAACGAGTGTACTTGATAAAGGTGAGAGTCTTAAAACAGGTTTCAAGTTGGAAAATCAGCTTACTTTGAAGTATTGAGAAGGTGAGAGATGATTGTTGGAAATGATGCACCTATTTGGCTAGGCTTTAGGAACTTTTCAAACTGAATTTTAGGAGTTATTTTCTTAGTAAGATTATTATGAAATGTAGAATAATAACGGCAAGGATCAAAAACGCAATTTTTCAGTAAAATGATTATTGCTGTTGTACAAAAAACCCTGGCCAATGGGAAACAGGGTAAAATCCATTATACTGTGAAGCATTTGCTTGAAAAGTGTTTACAAAATTGTCCCAAACTGTTGAGCTCTTGTAGACTAAATTGTAAGTAATGACAGTCGTAAGCAGTTAATCTTACAGTCAGGTAATAAGACATAGGGTCGTGTATTTGTTAAGGTTAACGAAAAAATATATTATGAAATAAAAGTGAAAGGTTGGAGAGCTGTTTGAAACATTCATCCCCATATTCGTCTTGCCTCTAACTTGCAATTCTCAATAAAAACAAGGATCAATTTGAATTCAAGGAATACAAGATGTCCGTTTACTTTGACATCAAATGAGAAAGTTCATCGCAATTTTCGAAGTTTTCACACTCCCTCAGATTTAGGTTGCTAAAATATGAAACTTCAAAATAGATGCATGGGGAACTTATGCTAAAAATATATCAGAATTTACTGAGAACGAGATATGTGTACCGTTCGTTATCACTGGGACCTGAGCTCGACCCACGATGACATCTTCACTGAGTTGTTTCAACACAGCAAAAGAAATATAAGGATTTGTAAGGGGAAAAACGTTTTCTCGTAGAAACGAAAACATGTCGGTTATTCAGCTTTGAAAAAAAAACTGACTTCGCTTCAAATGTGAGTTTCGTTGTCTGCCTTGTGATTTGAGTGCTTTTCAGTTCCCTATAGCTTTTTCTCACAAGATATTGTATACATCTAAAATTTAGAAAAAGGCAGAGGAACTAAGAGCAACGAAGTCGCTATGAGTTGATTTAAAAACTATACTTGAGAGAAAGAAACACTAGACTGAAGCAGGGCTAGCTGTTTTTTTTTTCTTTTTTAGGAGTTAAATTTCAGACCCTTTATGTGTCCGAATGCAGCTGTTTTCGCCTCGCAAATCCTTCTAATTCTACTGTTGCGCAACATCAACCGTCTCGCAGCTGACGGATCGCAGAGGTACTTACGCAATGAGCTTGAATGGGTTACCTGTGACGCACTAAGATTAATAACAAACCTTCCGAGCCGCGCTGTTCAAGGAGTACCGCAGCAAACCATTTTAATAAGTGTAATGACAAGAGAAAAAAGTAAATTAAGATCTAAAAGCACCGTTGTCTGGTAAACTTACCCTAATTTTGTCGTTTTGTGCTAGCTGTGTGTTTGGAAGTAATTAAACACAAATTGTCATTCTTATTTTGATTAAGGATTCGGTAGGAGAAAAACGTTTGTTTTTTCTTTGCGGAAAATATTTCCGTATTTGATTTCCATTTTAAAAGTATTTTCGGCATGCTTTTGTTTAGTAGGTCAAAATCGCTTTTTTTGCTAATCATTTCTTTATCTTTGACGCATGTTTGTGCAGTATAATGAGGTAGCACTATGTCTGTAATTAAACCTTCGTTATGAATTTTCGAGAAGATCGTGAAAGGGTCATGCACAATACATGCTACGCTTTCAAATATGACATATTGAAAGAAGAACAATTCGAAATTTAATTGAGGTGCGAAGGAACTGTGGCAATTTTGGTTCCGTCATTTCAAACTTGCGTCACTTTTTAACAGGTTATTCCTTTGGATAAGTTTGGTTATGACAGCTTTGTTTTCTTAAAGCAGGTGAGATTTTGCGCTCGAACTATCGAAACACGACTTTGCGACCTCTTTTACTTTTTCCTTTTTTTCAGAGTTTGAATTGAGAAACGAAATTAGCCCAAAAGTGTATTTCCGGGTGAAAGATTTCGCTTTTGTTTCAAGTTGAATTTTTAACGAATTTGAAATTACCATATTTTTTCCAATACAGCAGTATCTTATTTCGCTCTCTGATAAACAAAATATGTCTGAGTGTTTTAACAAATAGGAAATTTTCCGATCATCTGTAAACTTTATTTAAATTTCTGTCCCTCGTTACTGAAAGTTTTTTTTATTCCCCATTTACAATTCCCTCAGAATTTATGTCAAAGGGATTTTAAAAGAGTCCAGTCAATAGTATTTTCAAATAAACCAATATCACCCTGCGTTCTGTTTAACAAAACTAAATTTGTGTGTCTTCACCGGTGGTTTGTTTAAGCTTTTTAAAGGTTTAAGTGACTGAACGACATAATTTTGAACATTGCATCCTAAGTTTATATATTTCTTTGACTGGAATTTCAGGTTTAGATATTTCAAAACTCGCAGAAAAAAATGCCCAAAAAGGGTTCCCTGCCGCGAAGTTTTGTTTTGAAATTCCGCAAAAATAATAATAAAAAAACTCCAACTAATTTGTGTTTCAGTCACTAGCATTTTCTTTAAGAGGGACTACAATTAAAACTCTCTTAAGATGACAGGTGCAATCACCGCTGATGTAACACTAATTTCTCCTATCTAACATTGTTTGAAATGGGTTTTGATCAGTGGGGAGAGTTAATCTTTCGAGCTTGCGTTGAAGGCGTGCGTCACGTGCCAGTGAAATGGGAGCGGGAATCTCTGTAAGTATTCCCTTAATATCAAGCATTGTTCTCTTGCAGAGAAAAGCGTCGTTTGACTTGGCTTTCAGTACAAACACAGCTGTCGTGGAACCATAATGAGGTGAATATGTGTCTCCGGGAGCTGTCATGTTAAATCCACTTCTATTCTGAATCGATTTAATTTTCGGCAGAAAAACATTTTATTCTAGAGCGAGCGAGATTTTCTTCAATTTCCTGAAACAAACCCCAAGAAGTAACCCATTTTATGGCAGCAACATGTCAATCAACGAAACTACTGTGTACCCAATTCCTGACTTCAAAAAGTATTCCGTCGAAATTGTGGATATTATTTTTGCCGTGCTTTATGGTTTCGTCATGTTTATTGGACTCATTGGAAATTGTTTAGTTATGGCTGTGGTGTACCGGACCAGATCCATGCATACAACCACAAATTTTCTCCTCGTAAACATGGCTGTTAGCGATGTTATCACTCTGTTGTGGTGTCCCAGGACTTATAGCTTCGCCTTTTACCCGATTCATCCCACAGGGATCCTTGGTGACTACATCTGCAAGATTTTCACAGGCAACGCAATTATAAGTGTCGCGATCGCCAGTTCAGTTCTTACGCTTACGATTCTTGCTACGGAAAGATACCATGCGCTAATGAAACCAATGCAGTCAGAATTACGCCTCACCAGGGAACGTGTTAAATACGTTCTCACTTTTGTTTGGGTCGCTGCGATCTTAACAAGCCTTCCAGACTTTTCTCAGAACAAGTACAGTGAGAGATATGGACGGTGTGTTTGCCCTTTTAGCTTACAGATCGCCTACTCGCTGAGGGTTCATGTTGTTTGCACTGTTATATTCTTGGGATGTGTACCCTTTCTTATTCTTGCGTACTGTTATTTTCAAATAATTCGCGGACTGTTTTTCAAGAACACCATTTGTTCGAGCGCGCCTTCTGGAAGCAGTGATCACCAGACGAAGAAAAGACTGGCTAAGTTACTAATTGGCGTCACGGCAGCCTTCTATATCTGTTATTTGCCTTATGGTGTTTTCATCATGTACATCGCTTTACAAGATCGAGAAAAACTAGTTGCCAATGAAGAAACCCTTGCTATGTTATTGCGAGTGTTCGAATTCCTCGTCACTTCTAGTTCATGTCTAAACCCAGTACTCTACGCCTTTCGTAGTTCAAATTACTGGGAGGGTTTTAAGAAGATTTTTACAAAGCGCAATGCAATTCAGGCAAAGAGAATATTGTCCACCGTATATAAGCAAACTCCGGAGCCTGTTTTGTCCGCAGTGCTATAGAAATGTGACACTTGTACGACAACCTTTACTTTACGTTTGGTTATCGAGAAAGGCCGGTTTCTTTGATTTATCTTTCAAACACCTTTCAGTTTTTTCGGATGAACTTTGATGCCAAGCTTAATTTGGCTCACATGAAAATTGAGCGGGGATATTGGCGCCAATTCGATTAGATCAACGAAGGAAGGAAGGAAACCTTTTAAGAATTTTATGAGGTTTAAGCGCACCTTGTAAATATTGAATTAGGTTAATATTTGTCCTTACACTGGAAAATATTATGAGGATAATTTTAACAAGCCATACAGAGGGTCAAGTTTTTTCTTATTCATTGTACCATTAAGTATTTATTAAGGTTAATGAAGCTCTTAAATCTTAGAAATTGCTGAAAGATGCTTTTTTAAAACTAAACATTGCATTAAAAAATGGGAAACGTACTGTTTGTGCAAATCGTTTACCTTCTCTAATCTTGCTGGTGAGAGCTTGTTTGCTCAAAGGGAGAACCTGAAGTGATTCTGTTTTACGGGAAGAACTTTATATCGTTTGAAGTATGGGCAGTTTTTATCTTTTTTTTATTTGACTTTTACTTTATTTTTCGAGAGGAGAATCAATGGAATCATTTGAAGCGGTTTGAAGACCTATAAAGTTAAATTTGTCGTTATTTTCGACAGAAGAGTCAAGTCCTTTAGATCTTCTTCTGAGGAGAACTTCGAAGTCGTCTCCTCCCAGTTCATGTTCATCAAATGAGGCTAATCACAATGGGTTTCTCGGAGTTCTTCAGCAAAGTCTGCCACTAGACTCAGTTATTCAGTTAAAATTCATCTTCCGGTTCGGGAATACTCGACTCAATTTCTCGTTTTTCAAACTGTTTATGTAAACAGTACCTATACCGTCCTGTCATAGTGTTTTTTTTTTTTCGCTGGCCTTGATAACTGCCGTGAACCATTTCTTTAGTTGGCCTTCAAAATTAATGTAGCTAGTTCCTATCTGATTGTATTGGAAAATTCATGTTACAGTCTGATAGAGAAATGTCAAAGGAGTAATTATCAATTCTATTGCGAAATTAAAATATTTCATAAGTTCACTTTTCTCCTGATATTTGTGTACAAAGGTTTATTACAATTTCCCTTCGACATTTCACGTTATTTGTTCTGTTTTCGTTTCATTAGTTTGCGGTGAAAGACAAAAATCACTTTGCTTTCAACAATTTTGGATTTTCTAATTACGCTCCTTATTGTCTGAATTTTTCTTGTCTGAGTTCATGAATCGAGCTGTTAAAATATAAAAGCTACATTTTCCAGGCTTTTTTAACGCTACTATTTCGACAATTAAAGATAAAAGAAAGCTTTTTAAAGCTTGAATATAAAAATATTTAGATTTCTAACAAAAAGAAGGAATTGCAGCTTGAAGATAATGGAGATAGATGTCAGTGCTAGCGCACAAAAATAGCCAGGTAGCTTGGATATCAAGTGCAGCTCAGAAGCTATTTTACGGCAAAATATTTCAACAGTGCTTTTTTACATTTACTCTTGAGTGATAGAGTTGATGGAGGACCGAAGTAAGGTTTGAAAAAGATCGAAATATCTAAGGGTAACATGATTACACCACATTTTATGCAATTATGTATAAAATCGGTCGTCTAAAACAAGTTTAGTATTAAAACATTTTCTCATTTCCAATACAACGTTAATTAGTGTGAACAAGATAACATAAAGAGAACCCCTTATGTTCTCTCAGTTTGAATTGCTATTCTCACCGATCAATACCTCGCGGTTTTTAAATGAACCTCGTTCCCCTGGTGAATTTTTCAATCATAGGGAATTATCTCAACCAAACTTTTTTACGCATCTTACCACTAAAACTTTAAACCATCTGCTTTCTAACACCTTGCCAAATTGGTCATTCAAATTAAGAAATATTTTTGAAACAAATTCAGGATGAAATTTCATCGTAACTCCGGCGACTTTTTAAAGATAAATTTAAGTTTGTTTTTTTAGTATATTTTTTTCGATAACCATCTAACTCAGTGAAAATTCAGCAGTAAAATATGTTTCATCTCTCGACTCGACTTCTAAAATTGACACAGTTCATTTTGAAATGCCACTTGAAATTTGGGCGAAATTTTGAAAAACGTGCGTAGATGTAAATTTTTACTAGGTGTATTAACTAAGATTCAGTTTCTGTCATAAGAAATGAAAACTGCTCCTTAAATTTGTTTTGCTGATGTGAACATTTTAGTACGAGTTTTTGGAGCATGTTATTTCTTTATGTCATTTATTTTTTTCAGCTTGATGTAATTTAATTTAAGGTGGTAAATTTGACGAGGGTCTCTGCAAAATTGCGAAATTTGCGCCGATTAAATCTACAGGAGATGACATGGATATTAACGAACAGCAAAGCCAAAAGAATTCGAGAGAAATAACGGAAATCGTAAACTATAATGTAATCTTGCAATTGTAAACTTTAAGGAAAGGGTTTGGACGAACCTTTACAAAAGCAATCTGTAGTCAAAAACGTTTTTTTTTTCAATTAAATAAGGTCATTTTATATAAAGGTGGCGAACTTTCTTAAAAGAGGTTGTTACGTATTTGATATACGGTTGCATATGGAAATGTTTAGAATTTTCAGATACAAACTTTTGGGGATCACGTGGTTTTAAGGGGGAATGGATAGGGGGGCCAGTCGTTGCTTACAAAGTGTAACAGGGAACTGTAGAAAATTGACAGCCAATGAAGGAAAATTATAAGAATACTACAGGGCCTTAAAAGGGGGGAGGGGGGGGGGGGAAAGTTAGGCACATTTTTTTGCGACACTACCAAAATCTTCTGACCGCCTTCCCCCTGCCAGATGGTCACTAATGACCAGTCCCCGAGGAGATAAATATAATCATATTATTATGAAAATATTATTTTTGCTCCCAGCAGGTGACGAAAATTGTCAAACCTGTTAAAAAGAGATTGCTGCTGTCTTGATGTGACACTAATATCTCTTAACTCATTAAAAAAATTGTATATTTGTCATTAACACGTCATGTTTATTTCAGTTATTGTAAAGCGCCTTTGGATAGCGGTAGAAATAGCGCTTTATAAATAAGGAATCGCGAGTCGCATTTTGAGAGTTAGATATTTAATTTTAATTATTACTAGGCTACAATATTTAAAAAGAATGCAAAAACGAAAGCTGTAAGATCAAAAAAAGCAAATTCATAATCGTAGCAGAGTTTCCCCTGTTTTTTTCCTTTCTATTTCTTTTTGTATCGATATTCCGTCAGTTCCACATAGTCCTTGTCCTTTCATACTGAGATTCCGTCCAGTGGTGCATTCAATATTGATTCTCTGCAAGAGAGACTGCAGCGTGTTAAAATACTTTTTAAAGCAATTATTTGACAAGTTTTTTATTTAAGCTCGGATTTTTTGTGATTTACTTTTATTTGCACGACAACATGGCAAAATGAAACAAAAGCGATATCTCTGCGACGCTTCCTTCGATTCTTCTTGGGTCTGAATTCTTGAGAAATATTCAAATTAACTCTCTTCTCCAAGATAGCTATCAAATAAGAAGTCCTGCTTTCTGCACAGTCTTTGCCTTGAAGACTCTTTCAAGTTTGGGATGGGGGTAGGGGTGGGGGTGGGGGCGGGGCTTATTTTCTATTTGTCGCGTTTGATTCGTACAGCTTTTCTGACGAAGACTATTTGTTTTTAAACAAGCTTGTCGTTACTTAGAGTTCTTGGCACAGTTCTGATAAAGGGTGGATGATGCTATCCAACGGATTAATCGCTATCCAGCGGATAAGTGATAGCAGAACGTGCCGCACCAACGCGCCAGATAACCCTTTAACTCCAATGATCTCCTTAAAAATTCTCCTTACTATCTGCCATATAGTTCTTGTGGTGTTAGTTTGGAGAATTTGATATTGGTTCAACCAATAATCCCCTAATTGATAGTTTTCTTTATTCTCATCTCTTTTTGCTTGATATTGTATTGATATTGTAAGGAGAAATTCTGTCTTGGTCACTCATGGGAGTTAAGGGGTTAAATATTTATCTAGTAGATAGCGTTTTCCAACCATCGAAAAACCGGGACCTGATTGGCTCTAAGAGGTATTTTCCTTTCTTCTGATAAGCGGTTGTTCTTACTTTGGTTTTAGTTTTTATAACACTTTAAATTGATTATTGGTCAAGAAGGACATTTGATACTCACCTACTCCTCATCTGAAGAACGGTTTCCCCGATACCTGTATCCCCCGTATTTCTTGTATTTTCCGTACTTCCGATAATATCCGGGAGATCCACCATTGTCCGAGTCAGAGTCGGAGTCAGAGCCGGAGTCAGAGTCGGAGTCAGAACCACCCTTACCCTTCCGGTAATAGCGTCGCTTAGGTCCACAGTAACAGCGCTTTTTGTATGGTTTGTAAGGTTTATAAACATGGTGGTGTGGATCCCTGGTGTTAAGAACAAATGATTTATAACCCATGTTTTGACAACCCTGTGGTAACCCCTGGGGTTACCCCTGGCACTGCCCCTGGGGAACTCTCATTCGAAATAACAAGAACGTCCGCCGGAAATTTCTCGTTAATTAAGTCGTCGATTGAAACCGTCTAGGGTGTGGTGTAGCGTTGAACCTCTGTGAGATTCCACTTCTTGTTTTAATTAACATTTTTATTCCCTTGCGTGTAAAGAAACGTTAGCAGCTGGGAACATTAGTGTATTGTCCTGAATTCCCGGCGGGTGAAGTGGGACTTTAAGCAAGACATCGAACATTCCTTCCCTTTCTAGGGGGAACCCTCAGGATTTCAGGCAGTTTCTTGTCTTTAAATCCACAGTGATTCTCCTAAATCCTTTTATTTCCTTCTCTGTTTCCCTACGTCCGAATTTTTAAATCGATAACCTTTTCTTAATAGTACACACTTCGTTCTAGCCCTGGAGAATACCTAGCATATGTTTGGGCAAACTGTCAATATTAATTGATAGAGGAAATCCCAAGCCATAATATCAGTGATTTTTTAACATCCCTTTTAGAGTAAAAAGCAATATATTTATATAAATCATGAGACTCATTTTGTGGCGATCCCTTAAATTACCTTGCGCAGATGTTATCAAGCATTGATCCAAGGTGTAGAGCTTTTTGAGTTGGTGGTTTATCGGGTACTTTTCAAGTTTCACAAATATTCGCGTTAAAAATGAACTTTTCAATTGAATTCTAACTCACCTTGAGGGCTTCTAAGGACAATTTTGGTAGGAATCCAATCGTGAGAAGGAAAAATGTAAAACTGTTGAATTGTTGGAGCCTGTTTAACAACCATTTAACCGCACTAATTCCCTGAAACAAATTGATGCCACAAATCTACTTCAGCATTTTTCTTACCTGTGTAATTCCATGCCAAGTTTTTCTAGAAGTGAGGTTCGTCTCATCACATTAGGCTTATCTTCAGCTGAACCTTGAATGAAGTTGACTAAAACTGCTAAAACCACGACGGCAAGAAAAAATCCACGATCCATTTTAGCTAAAAAAAATATTCCAAAAATCTCAACCTATGAGCGATCGCACAATCCGGTGTATGATCGACCACTTGATCCTGTAATCTAGCTTTTATTTTATAACGCGCATTGACTTAAAAGGTTCCTGGTCTCAAGAACAATATACATACACAAACAAGTATGTCATCGGTTCTGTTTCAAACCGAGATTTCTTATGCCCTATGAATTAAATCTCGTTTTAATTACACGGGCAATACAGCGAGTCAACTAATGCCAATATAACTGTGATTTCTTCCCAAAGTGGAGACTCTATATATCCTAATTGAGGTTTTTATTTTAAAATTCCTTGACAACAGCTCTTAGCGATGAAAGAACGTCGAGCTGAGGTTAAGAAAATTTGAGAACAGAGCTTTATTTTTCATTTAAAAAAAAGGAAACGTTTCCATTCCTCGAAATATAGTTTTGGACTTACAAAGTCTTGAATGAGCTAAATTGAATGCCGGGAAGCAATTTTGCTAAAAAGAAACTCTAAACGTACCATAAAATCAATAAAGTAATCGTCTTTCAAGAAATGGAAAAATTATGTTTGGAAATCGAAACTGCAGCGAGCAAGAGCACTTTAGATGAATGAAGTAAAAAGAATGAAAGAAACCACTTAAAAATCCTTTATCGCGTAATATAATAGTTTAATATAATAAATTCCTCACAAGTTCTGTTTATTCCTGAGATAGATCGATTTTTGTTTCAAGTTGTAACGGAAATGCCATAATTACTGATAACTTCCATTCAATTATACATTCACTTCTTCTCTGTAGACTACAAACTCCACCGATTCTACAACAAGAACGGAGCCATTTACTAGGCTGTGTGAGAAAAATCTAAATTCAAGATCAGTAGTCTGGGCATAAAACTCAGCTTGTCACAATTTGAATATGGTAGTATTTATCACGCTTTGTAAGGAGGATGTAACTAAAAAAGAAGTGTGAGACACATCAAATGAGAGCGACTGAGCAGTGCTTCTCTGTTGCTTCCTTTACAATGATGAACAAGGAGCTTCGCAATTTTTTCAGGGTCTGAGAATAAAGCCATAGTATGTGCCACTCAATAAGTTGCTAGTTAGTATTCCTTTCATTTGATGCTGTTTCACACGCTGTTAAAGATGACTCCAACCTTTATTGTCTTCAATAAGCCATTGTGCTTGACCATTTGGTCAAAAAAATACTTAAGAGAAACTTCATGAGATATTGCCTGTTGTATTGAACAAAGGTGTACGAAATTCAATTTAAGGGAAAGGAAAATGAAAGCTGGTGAATGACAAATATTAATTGAGAGATTTCATTCATAGACGACACAAAAATACAAAGAAGAACCTTACTTCAATTTCTTACGGATTTTACCAACCTCGGGCAACTAATATTATTGAACATTTTTTAATCGTGTTCAGTGAGGGGATGAGACAACAGTTTCAGTATCCATGGAAACAAAAACAGAGACACTTTATTATTAGGGAAATTACTTTGGGAAAGTATTCTTTTCAAGGATGCTCATGCCACAAAATTTGTCTGTACATTTACTTTGTTAAGCCACCGGCTCAGCGGCTTTCAAAATCAAACGGTCACTCGAAAAGTTTCGTGTACAGAACGTTTTTCATTTTATTCCAGTCGAATTCAATCCTGTCATCCGTGCCACTTCGCTTTATTTGTTTACCCCCCTCCATGCACTATTTTAATACTTTTCCGCTTAATAAACCAATTCTTTTATGGCAGTTCCCTTAACGTTTAAGGTGACTGGATTTCCCCTCGCAATAAACTGCATAAAATAACCTGAACTTGCTTCGTTAAAACACAGACATAGGACGCATCAAAGTTTTTCGCAGTGGCTATCATGATAAAATAATCACCCAAAGCTAGAAATCGGAACCATCCATTGAAACACTGACAAACAAAAGTGTAATCAAGTTATGCTAAGTAGCTTTCATTTGAATGTTTACGGACTTGGGTTGTACTCGTAGAGACACCAAAATAATAAGCAGAAGAAAAAAAACCGTGACTATAAAATAACACCTTGAATAAAATACTACAGCTACAAAGAACCATTTTGTTTACAACATAGGGCTGTTCACTGGCCCCTTTGATTACCTACACCCACTCACTCAGATTTTCCTTCCGTATTGGCTCTCCGCTGAAAATGATCCGTGAGGTGTAACGTGTAAAGCACTTTTAATATCGAGAATTAAAAGTATCTTTAAAATAATAATGATGGCTTCAAGGGCTGTGAAATGTGATAATATTGCATCTTTAAAGTTAAGAGCCCTCTCAGGTCCGGGAACATGCTGCTATGTGATTGGATGAAAGTTAGTCAGTCAACAAGTCAAAATATAACAGAAACATTTAATCTTGGGTAGCAGCTATATTAAGGCATATATTGCGCTGTTAAGTCGTAAGAGCTGATATACATTATATTGAAAGCTGAAATAAGACATCGAGGAGATGAAATGCACATAGATCTCTCATTTGCTGGTTTTAATTCTCTGTCTTTTTCTTTTTTCAGTGAAACAACTACAACGCAAGTTGATGAGGAAATATCCTTCGTCGAAGCCGGAGTAACCAATCTGTCCACGAGCAAAAGGCGATAAAAAGAATGCGGAAACTAAAGTGTGGGTTCTAAATAACCTATATACGAAATGAAAGGAGAAGATATGAAGAAATTCATAAATTTTACAGTTTGGAGAGAAATAACTCATGAAATAACGTCCGCCAGGTTGCCATGATTATAAGCAATTTTTTACCATAAATTAAAAGCAGTTTTATTCATTGCGCTCGTTTTTCAGTTCTTTATAAGCTGCACCATTTTATGTAAGCATTGGAAATTATCTAGAATAACTGCAAGAAAAGTGTAAAGATACGGTTTCGGGTAAGGAAAACTGTTATTTAAATAAATCACTGCAGCTCCATATTTTAGTTGATATTAATATAATTGCATGCTGTGACTGTTTTCGCGGATTTAATTTCATTGGTGCTGTTCACTAAGCTTTTTCCCTAAACTTTTAAAAACCTTTTCACGCTATACTCCTTTCATGAGGTGAAATTCTAATTATAAAAAGGAGAATATTTGCTCTTGTCTTGATTAGATCTGTTCTCTGCTTCTAAAAATAGGAATGATCCAAATCTTAACGCCTAAAAAATAGCGAATACTTTAATCCCTTGCAATTCAGCAGACTGTTAGCAATATTACAAACTTCGTTTGCTTTTCTTTCTGCTATCAAACGTTTAGCCAAGGCTGTCGTTCAATCTCCTTAATCAAGTCCAATTCTTCTGAGTTATAAAGCATTCCAAAATCAGTGGCTCTATGGCTGCTTTCACAGGCTACTGGAACAACAGTTGCTCTCTGCATAGCCACGCTTTGTTGCTGTATTTCTTTTGTCAGTGGCGTGGTGTTCTTTTCATTAACTGAGAGATCAGACATCGTTCTTGTTTCCCAAAGGGAAAAGATCAGCTTTTGTATTGCTTTGTCAGATAAAGTTGATCGAAGAGGACTCACAGCTGACCCTGCAGCTGTCACAGGTCTTAATGCATCTCCATTTGCCAAAGAACATACACTGTCGTAGTTCTCCGAGCCATTGTTCGCAAAACTCATCTTAGCATCTGGAAAATTAAAAGCAGAGTCATTTATCAATGAAAGAGCCTGCGCAGTAGGCTCCCTCACATCGCGTGACTCGACAGTTGTGGATTCAAAGTTCTTTGTCTCATTTATCATACAACTCGGTTTCGCTGCTGGTTTTTCATTTCTGCCTCTTAAATCCTTTGTTTCAGTTCCAAAAACTTCAAAGATAGCCTCTTCCGAGTCAATTTTCTCTGCTCTGATGGGTTGACTCGACGAGTAACTTTTTGTTAGATTCTTATTGTTTTCAATATGGTTTTTCACTGGCGCATCCAAATCAGTCCGTTGAATGTCCAAGATCTCCCTGATAGCCTCATCCAAGTCAATTTCTTCTGCGTCATTAACACTTTTCTTTTCTGCATTTTTCCGAGAAACCACAGGACCTTTTTGCAAAGACATACGCAAGTCAATGGCTGAAATACCTAAAATCTCCTTCATGGCTTCCTCCATGGCAATTTCTTCTGTTTTCCTAGAAACAGAAGAGGACTGAGGAGAACATATTGTTGCAGCATCTCTTTGACACTTATTGTTCTCCTGTTTTGCCAAAGTGACGCCCTTTTGTAGTTTATCCCCTTTAAATGAATCTTGCGGGGAAGGTGACCCAGTGAAAGATTTTACGACGGTTTTTATAGTTGAATCAAAGTCTTCTAGATCCCTCGCAAAATCGGATTTCCTGGTGGTATAGTTGTTCTCAGCACCTAAAGCTGTGTAGGAACATGATCGGTTTGGTCGATTCGTTGTCTCCTCCAACAGACCATCTTCGATTACCATGCACTTTGCCTGTCTTGGTTTGAGAGTGTGCAAATCCTGTTTTTGATTTGGAAATGCGCCAGGAAGATTAGCGTCCAGCGAATAACTTTGGCTTTTGTTAACATCGTCAGCTAATGAACGTCTCGGATTTCTAGTTTTTGGTCGAGCCTTTAGGCCAAAAGTAGAGGATTTTGTCCCGGCCGTAATGTCTAAAGCCGGAAGGAAATTTGTCTTGAGGTTTGTTCCAGTGCGTGCTGAGAAATCTCTTAGCACTTGCGAAACTGGATCACTAGAAACTTTTGAAACTCGTGAGTCCGTTTTGCCAGAGATTCTCTGTGGAATCGCAATATTCTTTGCTTTTGCATCAGATGTCTTCTTTCTAAAGCTTTTCAAGGAATTAGGCGTCGACGAGCTCGTTTCACACACACCTACTCGGTTTGCGATTTGGTGTTTGCCACCAGAACTTAACGGATTTAATCTTTCCGGGTTGATGTCTATAATGTCGTCTGAAAGAATATTTTCTATAATCTCTGCCATTTCAATATCATCGTCCTCATTTGGTTTTTGAAGATCTAGAAAATTATTCATCTGGTATTGGGACGAGGATGTTATAGGTGCCAATGATTTTAGAAGTGGTACTTTGTCCATTTCCATTGTCAAAAATAGCTTAGGGTTGCTTGTTTT